AAGGTTCGTAATCGACCTTCAACGAGAATGCCGGGGTTCGTGCTCGACCTCGGATTTGCGCGAATGGTTGGATTAAGGTTCGTACTCGACCTTCAACGAGAATACCGGGGTTCGTGCTCGACTTCGGATTTGCGCAAATGATTGGATTAAGGTTCGTACTCGACCTTCAACGAGAATGCCGGGGTTCGTGCTCGACCTCGGATTTGCGCGAATGGTTGGATTAAGGTTCGTACTCGACCTCAGATTTACGTGAATGATTGGATTAAGGTTCGTACTCGACCTTCAACGAGAATACCGGGGTTCGTGCTCGACCTCGGATTTGCGCGAATGATTGGATTAAGGTTCGTACTCGACCTTCAACGAGAATGCTGGGGTTCGTACTCGACTTCGGATTTGCGCAAATGATTGGATTAAGGTTCGTACTCGACCTTCAACGAGAATACTGGGGTTCGTGCTCGACCTCAAATTTGCGCGAATGGTTGGTTTAAGGTTCGTACTCGACCTTCAACGAGAATGTCGGGGTTCGTACTCGACCTCGGATTTACGTGAATGATTGGATTAAGGTTCGTACTCGACCTTCAACGAGAATACTGGGGTTCGTGCTCGACCTCAAATTTGCGCGAATGGTTGGTTTAAGGTTTGTACTCGACCTTCAACGAGAATGCCGGGGTTCGTACTCGACCTCAGATTTACGTGAATGATTGGATTAAGGTTCGTACTCGACCTTCAACGAGAATACCGGGGTTCGTGCTCGACCTCGGATTTGCGCGAATGGTTGGTTTAAGGTTCGTACTCGACCTTCAACGAGAATGCTGGGGTTCGTGCTAGACCTTAGATTTGCGTGAATGATGGTGGTTCAATTTTGACTTTTACAGTAAGTAAGAAAGCAATAGGTGAGCAAAATGGAGAATGTTATTAAATGATTCTGTGTGCCTCGTTAAAAACCCTCTCAGTTTGGGACTAAGGCGGGAAAAGAGTGCACGGTTTCGTTTGTACAAATGGGGGAGCAGAATCTAACGGGGAGCGGTGGAGGGACTCCCCTTACTTTCCTTGCCGGATGAGGAGATCCTCAGGCTTTCGGCGTAGCATTGCCGAGCTGTCTTCTGGTTTACTCTAACGGAGATAATCTTTCCGTCATTCTCTGGGAACTTCATGGTGAGGTGCGGAGTGGATACGAGCGCACCGAGGTGGTTTAGGGTCGGCCTCCCGATGATGATGTTGTAGGAGGTGTTGGCCTCCACGAGGAGGTATCGAACCATGATCCTCCTTGTATCCGGAGGTGTGTCGAAGGTTGTCAGCAGGTCCACGTATCCTCGGGTGTGGACCCGTTCGCCGGCAAAGCCAACTAGGGGCTCGGTGTGTGGCTGAATTAGAGAATGGGGGACGTCGAGCCTGAGGAATGTTGGCCAGTACAGGACGTCGGTCGAGCTCCCTTGGTCGATAAGTGTCTTTTGCACTTCCCAGTTGGCGATCTCTACCACGATGACCATGGGGTCATCTTGGTTAGGACTGATTCCCGCATAGTCCTCATCGGAAAAAGAGATCGGTGGCGAGCTCTTCTGCGAGATCGAGGCGGTGGAGTGGGCGTAGTTGATGCTTTGAAGGTGTCTTTTCTGGGCCGAGCTGCTGGCGCCTCCTCCAGCGAAGTCGCCTGCGATTGTGTTGATTATTCCCCGCAAGGGGGCTGAGTCTGTTTCCTGATTTATTTTGGCCTGTACCGCGCCATTAGCATTTTGCTGGGACCCTGTGGGTAAGTCTGTACGAGCTCCTGACCCGTGGCCTCTCCCGCGTCCCCAACCTCCAGAGCCACCTCAGGAACCTGGCTGTCGCTGGATGTAGTGGCCGAGGTGGCCTGCCTGGATGAGTTCTTCGATGCGGTCCCAGAGCGTGCGGCACTCGTCAATGGTGTGGCCGTAGTTCCTGTGGTACCGGCAGTGTTTGGACTTATCGGCGCTATTGGGGGTGTGGCCGGGTGGTGGAAGGGCTAGTAGGTTACTGTTACTGGCTTCTTCCAGGATGTGGAATCTCGGGGCGTTCAGGGGCGTGTAGAAGTCATACCTCCCGCTTCTGTTGGCTTTGGCCGGCTTCTTGAATTGGCTGTCATTATTGACTTTTAGCTTATCTTTGTGGCCCTGTTCTGGTTTTGCGGGGCCCTTCCCGCGAATTTGGTCGCGGAAGGCCGAGTGCTCTTCCATCTGAATGTAGCCGGCGGCGCGGGCACGCAGTTCATCCATGTCGCGGGGGGCGTCACGGCATAGGCTGTCGACGAACGATCCGGGTTTCAGCGCCATGGGCATGGCGTGCAGGGCGACCTCCGGGTTTAGATTCCGGATCCGAACCAAGATGTTGGAGAAGCGCTCCATGAAAGCTCGTAGAGGTTCATCTTCGTTCTACCGGAGGTTGGCCAAGGCGGCCGAGGTTGTGTGGTGAGGCCGACTGGTGGCGTATTGTGCCATGAATCGCCGCACCAAGGTGGCAAAGCTGTCGATGGATCCGACTGGTAGTTGGGTGTACCAATGAAGCGCGGGTCCCTTGAGTGAGGTCGGAAAAACCCTACACAATATAGCGTCGCTGTTAGTGTAAAGGTTTACCTAGGTTGTCTACGAGTCTATGTGCTCGTCGGGGTCCGTGGTGCCGTCGTAGCGGTCAAGGTGGAGGGGCTTCCACCCGCGAGGTAGCGGGGTCTCCATGATGCCATCCACAAAGGGATGACGGCGGAAGGGTTCTTGGCCCTCGGGGACGTGGGTGGGGGCCCTGCTGGTACCCTGCCCTGATCTGTGCGTTGATGCATGAGACTGGTGCATGGCAGGTCGTGAAGTCGATGCCTTAGTCGTCACTCGGGATTGGGAGGCTGAATATGTCTCCTCCTCATGATCGTCACTGTCGTGCGGAGGTTGATTGGAGTGATGTCGAGGGAGCTGGGCGCGAATGCGCTCATTCTCGGCGCGTAACGCTGCGAGGTCTGCTTCATTAGCAGTTCGCATTGCTGCGAGGTCATTCTCATGCTGGGCATGCATTTTCTGGAGGTCGGCGTCGCGTTATTGTCGCATCTGCTCGACTTGGTCGATCAGCCGCCTCAGGGTTACAGCGTCGCTGTCCATGGTAGTTGAGTGGCTTGCGTCGTCTGTTGCTCGTCTGATGTGGCTTCTAGTAGAAACCATGCAGGTGGCCGATAAGAGTTGTCTTGATCGGCCCCACGGTGGGCGCCAAATGTTCTTACCGGAATTTGACCGTAGGGGTGATCCGTCCAGTAAGATCGGTGAGCCTCCTTTGCTTGATGTATTGGTGCTCCAAGATGGGGGAGGTACCTGCAAAGAGACTCCGATGTCAAAGTTAGGGTTTGCATGAATAATAGTCTCATATATATAATGTACGTACCTTAGGATGGTTTAGGTTTGCCTTGGGCCTTGGGCCTGAGATAAGATATGTTATAGTTGAAGGGCAGATCTGGTCCGGGGCGAGATCCTCGGGTTCGAGTGTGATTTGTTCAAATACCGGGCTGACGTCGCGCAGCGCGTCCCCGGGGTTATTTTGTATTGCTAATCCGGGCTCGGAGCCCGGATGCGAAGTACGGTTAGTACACATAGGTCCAACTTTCAACTTTTTTTTTTAACATTGGAACTTAGAGTTTTAGAATTATAATTATCCTTTTGAAAGTTGAAGTTATAGAAGCTAAAAATTCAATTTCAGAATTTCTGAGTTTTGAAATTGTAACCAATGGCAACCCTTTTATGAACATCTCTATTGTTTACTTTAGACTTTCTTTACCATCTTAATTGAGAAAGGCCCTATTATTGTTCAAGCCCAAGAGGAGCTTCCAACTAACTGTGGTAGCCCCACCTTAAATATTTTGTTTGACATTTGAGTCATAAAAGCGGGTTTATATTCTCTTAATCCAACTCCTGTGTTAGAATAGGAAATACAATAATTCTTTTACCCATAGTAATATTCGAATACAAGGATTAAAATAAATGAATAAATAAGAATAAATTTTTTATAAAATTAATTTCTAATTAATATTTTTTATTAAAAACAATATAATATTAATTATTTTCTAGAAAATATTATGAAAAATATAAATGAAAAAGAACTCATTATTTTTACATTGAAAAGTTAACATGACATTTATCTTAAAATTTACTTTTTAAAATATGTCACTTATTATGGGACAGAAAAAGTATTGTACATATAAGAAAATTCAATTTCTGTTGCACTTGAGGTATTTTCTTAGATTTGTAGTTTCTTTTATCTTGATTGTGGGTGGCCTTAAAACAACTAAAATGTGTGTGTGCATGGGATTTTCTGATGAGCAATGTTTCAAGAACGTCTAGAAGCAGCAAATGCTTTAAAGAAGCAAATGTGGGAAGAAGCATAGCTTGATAAACGACATACCAAAGAGGATAACTTTCCTAGGATGCGGGTCTGTCTCTTGTTTGGGCAAAAAGAATGAGCCAACTACTGCATTTTCCTCAGTAGAGAGTAAACAGACCCCATTGCTTATTCTTGACAACAAAAATAGTAAGGATTTGCTCACTTCCCATGACCTGCATGAACAGAGCAATGAACTACAGGAAAATCATAATCATCTCTTTAGTTCTCCATTAGAAGTCAATATGCAGGTGCAATATTGTTCTACAGGCCCATATAATTATTCTTTCCAACAATCAGGATATGCTGTTGAAAAATCAAGGTCAAATTTAAAGTCATACATAGGTCACTTGGCAGAGCAAACTTACATGCATAATCTAATCACAAAATAGTTATGCCACATCCCTAATGCCTCTCACATCAATTCTTGATGTCTAGGTAACTTAAATGGAAAATCAAGTTTAAGAACACATTCAAAGCTAAACCACCAAATGCCATTAGGCAAAAGATACAATGAATTAGTGACATTATGAAATATAATAACCATAAAATGATTTAAATATTTACAAAGAAACAAACCTATATACCACTCCTATATTTGGTGTTAATAACTGAATTTTCTAAACCTGTAAGCAAATAAAACAAAGAATAAATACACAGAATACTTCATGAGTCATGAGTTAAATTGACAAACGGCTTGCAAATACTACATAAAGGATTATATTATCAATGACCAAAGTTTGAAACGTCCTTAACTACCCAAAGATAACAAGAACCTCATTCCACTAAGCAAATGTTTTTCAAAGAAAAAAGTAAAACAAAACAATGCTATATATTATACTTTTTACTTTGAGTACTAGGAAGAGAGGACAGTTTAACACAATGAATTGCTCCATACAAAGTAAGCATCAGATTGTCGTGAGGTACTAAATTCATTAAATATCCAATAAAAATAAACTACGAGTCATATAAATTAGAAGACAGTATAGTACACAGATGTATCCAAACAAAGATATAGACATGGATATGTGTGCATTTATATATTATTCAGCGTACACGTAGGGTGACCCAACCTGGAAATCCAGCCTTGCAACACAAGAAGGAATTTACAAGGAGATTTTGTGGGTTTGAGTCATTTGAATGGACAAAATTGTTTTGAACCTCTATTTATTTTTTTCAAGGATGAACTATGAAGCAATGTAGCTTACAATTGGGACCTTCAGTCAAGGATATGTGTGATTGACTTCATTAAAACCATGCACAAACACACAGTAGGGCAACTATGGATTTTTCCTATAAGTTTACAAAAACATAAACATCGTAAGTTCAACCTTCAGCCTAACCTTTTTAACTTGGATAGGACAATTTGATAATTTTTTACATGAATAATGAACAAAAAGGGATCAAACAGAAAATAAACTCACTGATGCTTCATCAACCAATATAGATGGCAGTTTTTTCTCTGTAGCAATGACAACTCCTTTTGCAGCTGCAAGAATCAAATATCAAATCAAATCAAATATATAATTAAAGCCAGCAAAAGCTACAGCTTCCATTACAGGATCCAAATCGTCTACAAGACACACGAACCTAGTGAATCAGAAAGCAAATAGTACAAACAATAGCAAACAGATTTTGGCAAACAAAATTGACGACCAAAATGTAAAAATAATACCAAAATAAAATATTAAATCACAATGACACAAACTACCAAATCTCTAATTCTAGCCTCCTCTAAATCCTAGTCAATTAAGAATTTCTAACATGGTAGTTAAACAAGTGACCTTGTAAGAGGCAAGTAATTGCAGTTTCATTATATATGAACATTACCTTCTATTGGAGGTATATTCTCCCCTTTCTCGAGCTATACCAATTGCAATACGACGTTGCAACAATACAAAATTATTCAACTCAAGAGCCTGTGATTACAAAGAAAATTGATTTAAGCAAATATATAAGAAAGCCTAGAAATAACAATGTTAATCTATAGGCCAAATTAGGTAGTTATAATTATAAATTAGAATGTTAATGTTCCAAAAACAGCCAATAAAAAATGCTCCAATATATGCAAATCATTCTGTACTACCAGGAGCAATTACTGAATACCTAAAACCATGAGTGTCAAATCAGGCTGTGAATTCTGGGTGTAACACTGCAACCCAGTTCAATCAGAATCAAAGCTAATGCTTCAGTATAAATATAAAGAATGTAAAAATTGCTTCACAATTGGCGTAGCAAATTGCAATAGAAGCCAATTAGGGATACAAACTGAAAATAATACCTCTCTGTTCCCGCATGACTGCAAATGGAATGTTGAGAGTTGCCTGTCGGTGAGAATAGAGAGAGAAGACGACGATGAGATCTTGTGAGAACACTGAATGGCGTTGTCGTTGAGAGTTGCGGGAAACGATGATGGCTGTGGGTAGAACAAAGAAAGAAGACGATGGCTGTAGGTGGGAGACTTAACGGTGCCGTCGTTGAGAGTTGCAGGGTTTAGGGTGGGAGACGACGACGATGACTGTGGTTGAGAACAAAGAGAGTAGATGATGTTCAGAATTGCGGGAGACGACGACGAGGGTTGTGGTGGGAGACTGAAGGGTGCGCACGAAGTGGGAGAGAAAGGCGCGAGCTAATTTTGGGTCTCCTCCATCTAAGTCGGTTTTAAACAAAAACCATCGTAGATCATTTATCATCTAAGTCGGTTTTACAATAAACCGGCGTAAATATGTTCGTGTAAGCTATTTTACTATGGTTATTATCTAAATCGTCGTAGATTATGTTACTTTTATTTATAAAATTGCCACCACTTCTTATTCTACATTAGTTTTTAATAAACTATCTTAGATTGAGTGACTTAGATTAATCATTTTGTAATAATCTCAATTCAATTAAAAGTCTTTAAGAGAATTAAAGCATGGAATAGGGTTTGAACACCAATCCTGAATAGAGAGAATGAATCCTTTACATTTTGCTTTGAGGCAATGCCAGACTCTAATTTGCACCATCTCCAAAATGTCCTAATGTACTAATGTTTAACAATGATAACATTTGCCCGGAATCAAAGGCTATCTCGCAGCATGCATACGCATCTTTGGGTGCTTTTTTTTTCTTCATGGAATGTCCATGTAGTATCCAAAACTTAATAGCTAATGTGACTTTTGCTGGTCAGAGAGATCTTTGGGCACAGTAAATTAAAAATAAAAATCTTAAAGAAAATAAAAAAATTTATCAAACTATCTGCAAGAAACTAATGATTTTTTTAATAATAAAACACCTGGTGATTTGATAGTTGTTTTGGATAATTGATTGCGAGTAAATAAATAATAAAAAACGAAGTAAACTCATTAACAAAAGAGGAGAAAGAAAAGTAATGCAAAGAACAAATGCGCCCAAATCATTGGTTTGTGGTCGCTTTTGTTCGATAGAAGACTCAGATCCGATTTTCTTTTCTTATATTCTTACATAATTAATTCAATTATTAAGTTCTTATAATAACAAATAAAAATAAAAGTAATGTGATCAGTAAATACAAAGTATCCACCGACTGAACATGATTAATGGCGAAAACAACGCAACGCCACGCCATTCACACTTGAGTTGTTTTCTTCATTCCTGTCTGTAACACGAATTTTTAACGTAAATAATATTTTTTTAAAATTTTTTTACCCAAATAACACCTGTGCAACTTTATTTACACAACTAGAACCATTTACTGTTCACACTCAGAATTCGGTTCCCCGGGAACCAAATTTTGAGCTTCAAAAATTATTTTTTTCTTTTTTTTGTGTTCAGAATTCGGTTCCCGGAAAACCGAATTCTGAGTTATTTTTAATTATTTTTTTTTTTGGTTTATGGCTGATTTTTCGCGAGTGTGGCGACATGGATTCGTTGTGGAGCGCGGGGGTGACTGCGGAGAGGTTCCTCCCTCAGGGTTCGCTGAGCTTCGAGGACCGGGGATTGATTGACAGGGTCGATCCTGAGGACAGTTTCGATGTTGCTCAGGTCATGCTGCAGAGCGTGATGGGCATAATGAGCCATTGGAAGCCCAAGTGGGGTCAGCAGCAAGAAGACCTGGCCAAGCAACAGCAGGAGCTGGCTAAGGTGAGAGGCCGGCTCCAGCCGTGGAAAGAGGCTAATAAGATCCTGAGGGAGGATAACAAGGCTCTTAGCGCGGCCCTTGATGAGGCGAAGCGGCGGGAGGCCGAGCTTTGGACTGCGCGTAGTGACCTTGCGCAGGTGTAGAAGTCTCTTGAGATTGCGTTGCGATCTAATGAGACTTATGCTTCTCAGGTGGGGGAGCTACAGGAGCTCGCGGCTTTCTCCCGGGCGCGGGCCCGCTCTCTGGAGGATGAGGTGACATCCTCCTATGACCAGGTGCGGACCCTGGAGGATGCTGTGACCTCTCTCAAGGGAGAGTTGGCAGCGGCGACTGAGGAGCGTCTCTGCAGTGAGGTCGTTCTGGGCGGTCGGGAGGACGAGATTGTTGCCCTAAGGGTAGAGCTCGCGGAGCTGGCAGCGGGGAAGGCAGCCGTGGAAGGGCAGCTCACCGAGGTGGAGCGCTCCGTCGTGGCGGAGCATAAGAGGGGCTTTTAGAAGGCTGCTCGTCAGGCACGGCTTCTTGCTCCCGGGTTCGACTTTTCTTCCATGCATGTGGAGAAGGTGGTCCACTTTGGGAGGCTAGTTCAGGAGGACGATGTGAACGACAGTTCTAGTGAAAATGCCTCCGCCTAGGCTGTCTTTGTAATTTTTGTTTCCTTTTCCTTTGTTTCATGTGCCGAACTGGTTGTAAATTTGAATTTATATATGTATGTGTTCTTCTTCCTTCGCGGCTACGTTTGACTTTTCGACACTTGTGTGTTTTAAGGCATCTGGTGTGCTCTGGACTTGTCTTGTGTTTTACTTATTTGTTTGTTTTCAGGCCTTCGCTTGGCGTCTGTTGTGTGTTTTTTGTGCATGGTGGTGTCTTTGCCTTGCGTTGGTCAGGTCGGGGTTAGAGATCGACCTCGGCTTTAAGTGAAGCGGATTGGTGATGGCTCTAGTCTTGGCCTTAGGTGCACTTATGGCTTGTATTCCTTTTGTAACTTTGAGTGGGTCGACTTCATTAAGGTTCGTATCCGACCTTTGACGTGATCGTCAGGGTTCACACTTGATTTCTGCTTTACTTGCTTGAGGTTTGCCTTCGACCTCGTATTTGTTTAAACGGACTTGACCGCTCACGAAGGTTCTGAGGTCCGTGCGTGACCTCGGTTTTGGTTTATGCTTGACTTGGGGTGTATCGCAGCTTGGCTTGGATTTGAGTGGACGATTCAGTTATGGTTCGAACTCGACCTTAGGTGATGATATTGGGGTTCATATTCGGGAGAGGTTCCTCCCTCAGGGTTCGCTGAGCTTCGAGGACCGGGGATTGATTGACAGGGTCGATCCTGAGGACAGTTTCGATGTTGCTCAGGTCATGCTGCAGAGCGTGATGGGCATGTAAATAAAGTTGTACAAGTGTTATTTTGGTAAATTTTTTTTAAAAAAATATTATTTACGTTAAAAATTCGTGTAACACTCCTTTTGGCTCTGTCGGACCATTATTATGGGGAATATATTTTCTACGTACCTTTGAATTTCTACATCTTTCATGTGACACTTGACAACAATTAAATTATGAATAAGACTTGTCGTGTGATTTATTATATATATATATATATATATACATATATGTCACTTGACAACAATTAAATTATGAATAAGGCTTGTCGTGTGATTTATTATATATATATATATAAAGTTATTACTTATTATTAATGGAGTAAAAAATATTGAAATTTCACTATAAAAATATAGATTAAGACATTTTGTGTCTTTAATATTTATAAATGTTGTATGTAATTATTTATTAAAGATATTTTTTTAATTTAAGAGGTATAATGATCTATTAAGATGTATAGACAAAAAATTATTACTTATTTTTAGTATCTCTTTTATAATATACTAGCAGGAAAAAGGTACTTTGTATCTGTATTTATTAAAAAAAAATTTAAAAATGAAAAATTACTCATAAAAAAATAGTTATTAAAAAATAAATAAAGGATAAAATGATTCATGTAAAAATGAAAACTAAAAGTAATTATTGTAAGAATAATTTATTAGTTTGAAATTCTTAAATTTGATTAAAAAATATTTTTTCTAATTTTTAAGCAGGAGCTGGCTAAGGTGAGAGGCCGGCTCCAGCCGTGGAAAGAGGCTAATAAGATCCTGAGGGAGGATAACAAGGCTCTTAGCGCGGCCCTTGATGAGGCGAAGCGGCGGGAGGCCGAGCTTTGGACTGCGCGTAGTGACCTTGCGCGGGTGCAGAAGTCTCTTGAGATTGCGTTGCGATCTAATGAGACTTATGCTTCTCAGGTGGGGGAGCTAAAGAATGATTGTGTAGTAGAGTTTGTTGAAACAAATAAACAATTAGCTGATATATTTACAAAACCTCTACCAAAAGAAATATTTAATCAATTGAGAATTGAACTTGGAATTATCAATGAGTCTTGTTTGAATTGATTGTTAATGTGCACTTGAGGGTGATTGTTTGAATAAAACTTGATTGATGTGTGTATAGTACGTTGAAATGTGGTGAATAAAAGATTGTTTTTAAGAGTTGAAATGGAAGAGGAATGGTTTATAAGGTTTAAAATAGTGAAACAAAACTTTTATGAAATAATTGATTATTGTAAAATTTAATCGATTATTGTAAGACTAGGAAAATAATCGATTATTTGGAAAATAATCGATTATCTGGGAAGAAGTAGAATTCCAGAAGTCTTTGAAATAATCGATTATATGGTAAATAATCGATTATCTTGGAAGGTTAGAAAGAGTCAGTCTCTGGAATAATTGATTATTCTGGAAATAATCGATTATCTAGGAGCAAAAAAGAGACATGAGTCTCTGGATTAATCGATTATTCCAAAAATAATTGAGTATTCAGTGTAGACATGGTTTTCAAACTATTTTTACTGATACAAATAATCAATTATTTGTATAGATAATCGATTATTTACGCGACCCTTAGTTTTCCAGACGATTTTTGAACTGTTTTATTCGCGCCAACTCCCAACCTCCCACTTTCCTTCATAAGTGGCACCTCTCTTCTACCCAATCCGGTGTCTAGGGCTTTAAAATCACTTAACCCTCTTATTTCTATAAAACCCATTCATTCTCTCAAGTTTAACAAACAAACCCTAACCCTAAACATTCATCTTCATCTTCTCTTCTCCAAATCAAGAACCCTTCTTTAATCACAAAATGGCCTCATCTTCCAAGAGAATCAAGAAGCTTGAAGTCAGGGAGCAAAATACCTCTGCCCACAGGAGCTGAGCAACTGATCTCCAAATGGTTTGCTGACAAAGAAACCCAAACTACTACTTTGAGTGGTATGCGGGTAAGAGAATCATTCCTCCGAAGACTTTGAAGTTGGAGTGGTTCAAAAGTGAGGGTTTTAATTTTCCTCCTCCCTTGGAGCATCAAGAGCTTGGGAAGTTCTTGGAGCTGGAAAGTCTGTATTACCCGGAGCTTATTAGGCTATTTTTGTGCTTCGCCTCAAGCAATAAGGGAATAATGCAATTAGTGGTGAAAAGAAAGATGATAAAGCTTTGTAGACACCCAATTTCGTCTGGGG